CGACCCCGCACAACACGATCTACTCGATCAACGTTATGGTTGCCGAAAAAAAAACAGAAAAACAGAGGCAAAAACAAATGTGGTAACCTGGTTGCCGAGCTCAAGAAGTGATCGGGTTGTTTTTCAACGTCGTTGCCAGCGATGAAAACCCAACCCCGATGGCAAACACGGAGGGGGGGATTCTTTTAAACCGTCGTTGCCAAGCGACGAAAACCCAACCCCGATCGCAAACATCAAGGGGGGGAGTCGTCAGGGGGGACTTCTGTTTGCAGTTCTTCGTGATAGAGTGAATGGGTGATAGAATGAATTGGGTGACCTCGCGGCAAGATATTATTTGTGCGCCAGGCGTGTTCGACCTTCCCAGTAAGGCAACCTGGAAGTTGTTTGGCACTGTGTCGAACGTCTAGAGATCTTCACTGTGCCGAACGTCTAGAGATCTTCTCGTGAAATGAGGGAATCGGCTTCACAGGCATTGGGGAATTGTAGCCTTTAATGAAGGTAATCCCTCCCTTTTCGAGTTTTGGCTGCTAGCCAAGGAGGGTTCTTAGGGTAGCCGGAACCCGACCGGCTGGCAGCGATTCGGTTCACTGCTTCACAACCTTCTGTGCGTGATTACATGGGTTCGCTACATATGTCCGCCATGTCACCTGAAAAGTTCCATGAGTTAGAACAGTTGTTTTGGTCCCTCAATCTTTTTTCCCCTTTTTTAGGAAGTAATGATGGCTGGTGGCGAATTCGAACCCGATTTTTGTTAGATCAAAATCAGGGATCTCCTTGTCGACGGCAAATGTGAAGCGACGGATTCGTCCTCGACAAACGTTAGGGGATTGTATGCGAGCCATTATGAAGATGACCTCCACATTCTAGGAAAATGATTTCCTCTCCGTGCGCTCCCCACTGCAGTCTACCAGCCACTGCAACAGCAGCATGTGTGTCCATTCGTGGGTCTTCCCATCGGCTGCTACAAGTACAGAACAACCGCCCTATTTATTGTTGTTCTTGTTTTGGAAACTCTTGAGAAACATACTGGTCTGTACATGTATGGGTTGTCCGTCTCCTCTATGGGCCACTTTCCTAAGCGAAGCATGAAGGAAATCGTGACAGGTTTGTTTGTCTTCATGGTGCTCTGGACCTCGCGCCTCGCTCTAATGCCGCCTGTGTACAATAAGACTCGATCATGGGTGGGTTAGATGTTCCTAGAAATCACGAGTGAAAATGTTGCCTTCGCCTCCCCGTACCCATATGCCTTCCGTTCCTTCTACCAGATGCCATGGTGTGGTGTCGTCTGGACCCATGTTTGTAAACAATATGGCCTGCTGCTGATTCTGCATGCTGTGGGGGAAGCTGCATACGCCGCTCCTGCTGATTCTGCTGCTACAATCGCGAACACCGCTGCCTCCTTCCACCAGAGATATTCCGCGTCGCTGAAGTTCACGTGTCTGTCGATTTTGAGCTCTGTCCCAGGTGGAGACTTTGTGTTCGGAGGCGAGACATGCAGTAGGCGCGTCTGATGGCCGTAGTGTTTCACGAGGGTTGAGTTGACATCTGTTTCATTGTTTCGATTCGTGTGTGAGCGAAGTGTTTCAGGGTGTGGCGTCTGGAACGAAAAAATGTACTACATACAGTAGCGCACGCAGTGTTTCGCTCGTCATGTCCAAATTAGCTATGTAACTTGCACTGCTTCAGTACAGACAGGTGTTGCTGCCATGGTCGAGACACGCCGGGATCCATTTCAGTGTTGGTTGCGACGGACAGGTAGAGACTGACATGAGCGTTTTGCCGTCTTAAGGCCTTGACACGCGAGAGGCGGTAATCATTGTTTTTTTAATAGATCTAATCGGCGTGCGGTAGATCAGTTTGCGTTCTTTATTTTTCTAATGTGCTTTTACTGGAGTGCCACGCGTCGTTGTTGGTTGGTCTAACAGCATCGACCGCGCTTACCGGATGACCAATGAAATTGCCGTGTGCATATAGGGCCACCTGTGTAGGCGCGTAGGGATGTACAACAGATACAGAGGTGTTATTCCCCCCCCGCCTTTCAGTTGTGCGATGTTTTGGGGTCTCGGCCACCTGTCTATCTACGTCTGCGAGTGAAAGACATACGTAAATAGGAATATTTATTGCCGTAACTTGTTCCAAACTGGGACGCACAGTTTCTTCGGGTCTGACGATAAAGGATTATTCCTGTTGATGCCCAGAACGCACGTACTGTGTTCGTACAATAAGATATATCCTTGGCCAAAGTGCAGACGCCAAACCGGCAGGGTCGTGAGAGAGGGTTCCTGCAACGAGGGTCCCTGAAGAACGTGGGGTGGTGGTGTGGCGGTCAGTCGTGACTGGGAGTCGGATTGTTGATCGGTATGCACGCAATCCATTTTCTAGCCAGACAGACGTGGCCGTGGAGTTTTGACTGCTGGTCGTTCTTTGGCCTGTTTGAGAATCATCGTGCACTATCCTAACGCTACCTCATCTTGTGACGGTTCCCGTTGACATCGCAGCCAATCATGAGACCCCTCCAAATATGTTCCAGTACATATACATACGCCGCTGAAGCCCACAGCACGGCTATGAGACCCGGGGACATTGTTTCTTCTTTTTATTCGTTCTCCACTCGACTCTTCGATGTGGACGCCGTGTGATACTGGATCCGGTTGAGGGTTGCACATGCAGCATTCCCTGTGGTCATCTCAGTTATACTTTCCCGAAGTAGTTTATGATAGGACATATTTTTTTTTTTTTGGTGCAACACGTAGCAGCGGGCGTGTCTGCTGTTGGTCCGCACATTCATGTGTGTTGCTGAACGCTGCGCGAAGTGTAAGCAAGTCGATAATATCATAGGTCTTTCTGTTCTTGCGTCCTTGTCCGTCCCGCAGACGTAGCTGCTTGTGTTAACACCTGGAGTCCAGCCAGCATTGCATGCACGCTGTGCCGAGAGGTATATCCATGTTCACCTGTTTTATGTGATGTGTGATCCCGGCTGAGCCATCCTTTAAAATATCCCGAACGGTGTACCGGTTGGATGAGGCAGATACACACAAAAAAACAGACACGACAACCCCTGTCCTTTCGCGATTGTTCCCTTGCTTCAAGATTCCGCGGCGTCTTTTGATTGGACAGCCGGTCGGTTAGCGCGGTCGATGCTTGCTATGGAAACCCGCGCACACGTGTACCACAGCATGTGGGCGTGTTTTGTCGTCAACTCTTGCTGTTTGTATTGCGGGTGCGTTTCGTACTTCGGTCGTGCGTGTCTTCCAGCTGGGTCGACGCCGTGTTTTATGAATGAATTGCTGATGCGCGGCGCCGTTCGTTACGCTCGTGCCCCCTGTTCCTGCCTGTCCTTCTTGCACACACACCCTTCAACGACATGGGTACCTCCCCTACTCCAAGTACGTGTCGTCGCCGATCCTTCTCGCGCACCCCCACCTTCATCTATGCCACTCGTAACCGCCGTCGTGCCCCCCCCCCCCCCCCCCCCCCCCCCCCCCCCCCC